AAGCGCAGGGCGCGTGGGTACCGATTCTCTGACCACGACGCGTTCTGCACGTGCTGATTGGGCTCATACAACCGGCCAATCATACGCTGAATTCGAATATGGATCAACGATGCACTCAGGATGGAACGACCATGGGAATCTCCTTTTTTCCCACACCATCTGGACTTGAATGTGTATTTAATTGCATTGACATTTGTCTCTTCATTGAGTGTGGACCAGCTCCGATTAAACAAAGCCTTCATTCGTATGCCCCTCAAGCTAGATATTTGAGCTATAGACCGGTTGCGGGTTACTCAGGTGGTCTAGAGTAACGGAAATTATTCCTTATTGTTCACGAAGACATCCTTTGCCATTGGTGAGAGACGACTCAGGAAAGGGATGTCCTTAGCTAGCGTAGCTCATCGTTGAAACAAGTTTCCTTCTGCGATAATGGAAAGAATCCCTGTAGAAGAATTCAAGAAAGGCCTAGATAATCGTTGGCTGGCATTTTTCAATTATTATCCAGCTATTGAACAGTATCGCCGAGACCTCGTAGTCTATGGCCCAAAAACCTACAGAGATTTCTTTCTTCCATACTAAACTCCTTCTACAGAGGCAAGGAGAACAACTCACATGTCGATGTACCGACACTCCTGCTTTGCTTGCCGAAACACGATACAGGATGCTGGTAAACTAGCGCCTATTTCTTCCTTGGAACGCGACCCGAATCAAGCTGATCTGACCTGCTATTATACGACTTGGAAAATTACTCATCGATTGTCGATACACGCTGTCCAAGCCAGCTGTGCCTATATACCGCATTTGTATCGAACACACTAGTTCCGTTCGCTGGTTACGTTCAGCTCAAGATGTGTATGGATTGAACTCCACTGCACTCTACCTATTCATCCCTTTGCTTCCCATAAGACACTGCTGCCTATTGAAACAGATGTACTCCTGTTTCGACTTTTTACATTGTCTTCATTGCCGCGCTAGGTGGAGGCCGTTGGGGCGTGCAACATGAGTGGTGCGAGTAGGTTGGAATAATGGCAGTTTCATTCGAGCAGATGCCGTCCATACTTCAGCAACAGCAGCTGCTGCTGCTGCAGCTGCAGCAACGGCGGCAGATGCGACGGCGGCAGCAGCATCACAATAATAACAATAATAATATTAACAAGAAGAAGAAGCAGAAGAAGACGAAGAAGACGAAGAAGCCGGTTGAAAAAGCGCAGCGGCAGTTGATGGGGCTGCCCTCAACAAGGCCGTGCATCCAAGCAAATTCGAACAGGAGCTACAGCTGACATAATAGACATGGCATCGAAGTGCCATAAGCAGAGTGGATTGCAGTAGAGATTCTCAAGTCTTTCACGCAGCTGTTCGTGGCCCAAATGTGAAGCGAAAGGTGCTGTACCAGAAGCGCAGAACTCGTTAATTAACTGCCGGCAGTCGCACTTTGAGAGAAAAGCAGTGTGCATAAATCATATATGTCAAAAATGTGCACAAGTTGGTCATGAACAAACCGAATACCGAGTGGCGTACAACTTCAGTCGGGTGCATATTCCAAGGTTGCAAGCAAAAGCTACATTCAAAAGGAACAGATTTCATGGTGCAAAGCATAAGCGATCGTGGTAACGTTACGCACCGCGGCTTTTTTTAATCGTTGCAGCCAGTTTTCGTGTCTTCTATCATAATCATTTATCAAACGCCGTGAACAAAACTTGGCGGTTCGTCAGCAAAGGCTACAGAACTTACGGCCCAAAATACGTCAACAGTATGCTTGCAGCTAGAAAGAGAAAGCGTTTATAAACTCAACCTCAATGATCAGTAGTTCCATAGGACTACCTATCTTGAATCTCGTACCGACATTAATCGGCTCTGGATTGATTGGATTAAGAAGTTAACTTGACCCAGGGAGCCACTGAATGACGTATATTTTGAAAAGCTTGTTACTCTCTACATTACTGATCATACCTGACCTAAACACTCGTGTGGTTGCAGGCTTGACCTAAGCCCGGACCGTCATGCATGCGGATGCATGTGAACTGAAGTGGATCCCCAGACGGTCCACTCTAAGGCAACCTTTTTTTCCCAATGGAATGGTTTTAGAGGAAAGAACTAATGAATCCACTTTTGATCGAACATCGTTGCACGCTGTTCAAGCCAAGTGAGCATATTTACCGCATCTGAAATGGAACTCAATGTTCTATTCAATGCAGACCTACGTTCGTTGGCTAGTTGATTTAAGCTCAAGGTGTGTAATTAGCACGTGCTTTATGAAACACTACCGTCTATTTAAACAGATACACCCCGGTTCCGACTCATTTCGTTCTCTGACTATCACGGCGGTTGGAATCATGAACATTTAGACCTCGACAGAGAAAACTCGAGCTACAAACTATGGAAATATACAACCGAGTAGCTGTAAGGATTAGAACTATGTGGATGGTTTAGGGCATTTAGACAGGTAGTACAGTCACCATACATTTGATCCAGACCCCTGAAAGGTTGTTTCATTCTACTGACCCTGGTCAGTCGAAATTTGAACTCGTGACTCCTTAGATTGCAATCGGTGATGCTTGACACCGGAGCACTACAGCGACAGTGGTGACTTGCCTATTTTAGTCATTAGTCTTCAAATGCACTGCAAGTTTAGACGCCAGATGAACGCCGTTAAACTTCGACTTACTCAAGTCATTACCGTTGTTAAGCAGGCAATTATGCAACTCGTGATTCCCAATGGAATCAGACGACTGTTCAATGGCCTTCCCTATGGGAACTGTAACAAAGTAGTATTGGAGCATTACTACTCTTTTACTTAGAGTAGTTGAGTAATATTCAACTAAATCCTTATGCCAAACGGAGTGTTGGTGTGCGGCAGGGGATGCAACAACTGTTCCATGCAGAATGGAATCGTGTCTCAGCAAATGGGTAAAAGCCACAGAACAAAATATGAGTAGAGTAAATCCGAGAGTAACTAAACGGTGGGATACAATGTACTGTGAAACAAGTCGCACCTGCAAGGAGGAGTGTGAGGAAAGTCTCACTTCTGCACTTCTCCTCGCTGGTGCGACAAAGTTTGGTAAACTGACAACTGACATGCGACTTCAAGTTTCTGGAATGCGGTCAACAACTACTAGTCGGTCACGTGGGTAGGCAATATGCTGTGGAGAAATTGTGTCCAGTCGACAACACATGCTGAGATAGTAATCGTAGCGTGGGGTTGAATGAGAAGTTGGACGCGCACAACATAAATACACTGGATAATGCGCATGTAATTAAGGTTGGCAGCTTGTATTATGATTAATTTATTCCAGCCAGGCACCCCAGACTGTGAGTAATGGTATGGCGCAACGTGGTAATAACTTGCATGAAAGGAAACACAGCATACCACACTACTAACCTGAGGGTACCTGTTCATCCGAAATTCCACAGGTTCGCTGGGCAGAGGACACACTATTCAAATGCCAACCCAGCCGGATGGGAAACCTAGTCTTTCAATAAAAGGATTCTGAGAAGTAAAAAATCTGTTTTGTCTTTCGTGACCTAGTATTAGAAGCGAGATGATGGTATTAATGTGTCAGGGAATAGGGTGGCTATCGTTTTTTTTCCTTGTAAGAAACCACCGGTAGAAAGATCATGAAAAATGCTTGGAAATAATAGTATCAGTTGTTCTATGGTAGGGTTTTCTATCATCCAGACAGAAGTGGCCACGGATTCGACTGATGCTACACGCATGAACATCGGCTTTTAACAAAAGTGTCCCTAGCATGTACGTATGCATTACTGGCAGGCGTATTCAACTGGCACTGGCACCCTTAGTGACGGACTAGTATTCGTAGTTCTACATGGTGGCAAGTACTATGCATTTGAGCTGAAGTAAATCCCCACTGAAACTAAAAACTGAATTTAAGGAGCACTCTGTGTGTTTGGGTTGCGACTCGCAACCTCTATTGAGACCTCGGTGAACTTTGAGGTAAACCTCGGTCATTCCGATCTCAAGGACCGTATCCTGAATGGATATATTTGGGTGTTGCTCTTCCCAACCCTGGCACACCGCGACCGCGGTTTCGTCTTGGTTTAGACTCATCAGGTGGAGAGAGTCTGGGCTAGGGTGGAACTCAGAGCTTAGTACTTCATGGCTGATGCTCTGAACACTACGCTACTGAGATCCGCGAGCAACGCTTGGCACAGCGGAAAGTAATTCAAAGCGTTGTTCGCGGATCTCAGTAGCATAGTGTTCAGGGCATTAACCATGAAGTACTAAGCTCTGAGTTCCACCTTAGCTCAGGCTATCTTCAACTGATGAGTCTAAACCGAGACGAAACCACGGTCGTGGTGTGCCAGGGTTAGGAAGAGCAACGCCCAAATATACCCATTCTGAAACTCCACTGCTTTACAGATCGGAAAATATGCCAGGTTACATGCTCATTGCTGGCATTTTTTACCTAAGACGTCCAAATAGGGATAAGGCTGGTCTTGGGATGAAACGTTTGAAGTAGCCACATCGAAAGCATCTACGCTTGGGATGTGTTCCACTGATCGTATCGATTGAAGTTTGCATTTAAGCATCACGTTTTTCGGAATCAGCTCACTTGCCACAGTTGAAATTCGCAATGAATAATTGTTAATGAGCCAACAAGGAAGTTCTACACACCGTCAAGCAATCTCTGAGGAGCGCAGCGACCGAGTGAAAATTATATTTCTCTGGTCCTGCTCCCGTCTTCCGGTGTCTACTTGAAGAGGGCAGGTAAGGGCGAAACCAATGGAGCGTGTCGTTTTGAAACGAGCACTCACAGCTATTCTGCTCAAATAGTTCCTTCGCAACGTTAGTTGATGATACATATTAGCGCTTCAGCATTTGCACTTTCCAAGGTGAATAGATGAGTAGAAAATTACCTACAACACTATGCCCTTTTGTGTATACCGATTCGATACTGAACTATTGGACCGTCACCTCACCTAGACACGTGACAGATGAAGTGCTCCTTCTAATCTAAGCTGGTGTCATTTCTTTGGACTTTGACATCTATAAGGTCATGGTAACCAGACGTTCGTATAATCATAGCATGGATCGGGTAATCGCAACAGCTCAGGGTGAGTTCTATGCTCAATTGTACATTACCATGTGAAAACATCGTGTCCATAATTCAATATTGCGCCGCGTTTCAGGGTTATATAGCTATTATTGACTGCTGGTGGAATGCTTGGATGAGCTGTCCCAGTAGGCTAGAATGGCAATTCAGAGCTTTCTGAAGTGTCTGCAAATAAAATCACAATTGTTCGCACAATTTTATTAGCACCTGCAAATAGCATGGCTGTTTTATAACTCAAAAGCGCAATGATCGTGTTTATTCAGGCTAAAAGCGCTTTCAGCCGTGAGTAACGATTTGTGCCGTATTGGAACCAGCAGCTAACTAATAGCAGCTGTCACTGCTATTCAGGTTGCAAGGGTTTAGAGAACGACCTAGTGGAGTTATAAAGTCGGATTCAAATTACGCAGTACCGAATATGATGTATTTCGTGGGAACGAACCAGCTGTCCATCAATCATACGGCTGAGAATATCCGTAGCTCGGGGTATGGATGTGGATTTCGTACTGCTCTCCGATCGGAATGATTAGTTTGCAGATGTCTCGTTGCCAGACTAGGCAATATCGGCAGTGCGGCCTCAAGGGTCTGTTTCGCAGGACTGCGTAAGCGACTTCGAGATCTAGGCGCATGTTGGTCGAGTCCTGCTTTGAATACCAGGCTTCAATAAACTCACATGCCTGCCGGTCTATGGTTCTTGCGAGGATTTCGTTGTGCTCCAGGTCGAACTGGTGGCTTTCGGCATCTATATGCACAGGCACCAAAGAGTTCCGCTCATGACGGCGAGTGGCTAGGCTATGTTCATACAGCCGTGTGCCAAACATTTTTCCTGTTTGCTCTCGTACATAATATTTGTCACAATTACTGCAGCAGATCATGGAGATCATAGCAGATGTCTACCATTTGCAAAATTTTACTTTGTAGAGTTTATTTCGAATTGCCTCCGTTGACTGGTGGGCAATTTTGACTCCAAAAGGCAACAATAGTCTCACTGCTATTTCAGAGATTCCGTTGCGGTAGAGCAACACGGCTCACTTTTCAACTGTAGCCTTGGTTGTGGTGTGTTATGATGCCTTAATTGGGGCCAAGAAACGCAGAATGAAGCCTTTTCAGTAGCAATTCCGTTTGAGCAGGTTGACGAGATGGTATTCGTCTGCCCGTCTCAGCCGCGATGTTCTACAGTGTGTTTGCACTCCTTTGAAAAGGGTTCGCATGCAGCTGCACTTGTAGACTGCCAGGTGATTGCTGTAGTTGTTGTGGATCTGGTCCGTATGGGTTTATATTTGATAAACTGTCGTTTCCAGTCATACAAGACCAGTCCTTCGTATGAGAAGGTATCAAATTGGTAACTGTCCATTATTCTCCTCTCCCCTGGTGAATTGGATGCCGGCGAACCCGGTGTTGATTAGCGCACATGTCTCCTCTAATATGGAGCGTTTGATGATGTCGTAGGTGTCACCTACATAGCGCACACAAAGTTTCAGTTTCGCGATTGTGAGTGCTATCCGTTCTAATACCTGCATTACTGATTCGGCTACCAATGCAGAGATTGGCGATCCCATTGGTGTGTCTCTTATCAGTTTGTAGATTTTACCATCGAAAATGAAATAGGTTCTTGGACAGACTCCCAGCAACGCCATAATTTGTCTGGCATCAATTTTATTAATGGTATCGGAAGTTGCGGATTCCTGCAATAGATAAGCCATTGTTTGTTCCACCGAGTTGTTGTCTATCAATATGAACAGCGCCGTCACATCATCCCGTCTTATGCTTGTGCTTTTGAGTTTCGCAAAGAGCTGTTCTTCCGAGTTGATCGAGTGTCCTTATCCGACAATTCGATTTTTAGCTAACAGCTCTTCTGAAATTCCGTAGTTTGGTGCTTAGCCGCAACCATGACGACACAACTCGAAACGTTTACAGCCTGTCTATTAGTGCCACACGTTCAAAGTTCATCTGACCGTTCCGAATATTCATAAATCAAACTTCGTAACACTACTTTGACGCGGTGACGAACTTTAATCCTTGTAAAAACATGTAGTTAAATGTTGTCACTTGTGCAAGTGGTTACCCCCAATGCAGAATGCTGAGAAGACTGGAAAATTAGTTTTTTAGATTATGTTTCTGTGCTACCAGTTCTCAATCCATCCGTGGGTCTGAAAACGGAGGATGCTTTAAAGCTTTTGCGCTTGCACCTCGGCTCAGAGGGTCAACGTATAGTTTATGCTCTAAGCCTTCAGGAGAAACCCACATTGACAGAGGCCTCATTGGCCCTCGATAAACACTGGGGTGATCGAATGAACACTTATACTTCTCGGTACATTTTTTCGCAACTGAAACACGCGTTTACTGAATCAGTGGATCCATTAACTTCTCGTCTTTTTTATTCTGTTCGGAAATGTGCCAATAATAGTATTCCCAAGAAAAAGTGGGAGAAACTATGTTAACACAACAATTGATTCCTGGCCTCGCGGATTCGCGGATCAGAGAGAACGCAGAAAAGCTCACTTGGAACGAAACGCCATGGTCTTATTGAACGAATCACCATGCGTCAGGCGGGTGACTATTACCAGTGACAAGCTTAATTCGTTACGTTCCAGGTACCCAAATCTCTTTCTTCTGGATATTGGTAAAGTCCCGAAAGCAATGGACCGCATTCGATTGAGCGCAGATTAGAAACCGTTCAGCATTTCACAACCTAAGCCTGTACCTCTGGCCAAGCGAGAGGCTTTGTCGCAAGCTTTGAAAAATATGGTTACGGAAGACTTGATAGAACCCATACAGTGTTCTGAATGGTTTTATCCACTAGTTGCTGTTCAAAAGAAATATGGCTCTATTCTTGTATGCACCGACCTACGAGCATTTAATCGACATATAATGGTGGACAAATTCTCTCTACCTTCTCTCGATAACTTGATGATTAGGTTTACCAACGTCAAAGTTTTTTCAAAGCTGGATATTCCCGGTGCATACCACCACGTGCAACTGACCCCAGATGGCCGACATTTGACTACTTTCCTCACACAAGGCGGTTTGTATGAGTACAAAGTCCTACCAATGGGCCTCAGTGGTGCCGCAGCAGTTTAGCAGCAATTTATTACTCTATTCCTATCAGAATTCAAACAATGTGTTGTGTATGTGGACGATATTTCTGTCTTGGGTAGTAACCCCACCGAACATCAGGAAAACCTTCATAACGTGCTGCGTAGACTGCATGAACTAAATGTCCGCCTGAATACCATCAAATGCCAATTCACTGTAACGCAGGTCGATTTTATTTGGCATGTTATTTCTACCTCGGGTATTAAGCCCAATGTGCAGAACACCAGAGTCACTTTCGATTGTCCAAATCCATGCAATGTCACAGCTGAAACATGTCTTGGCTTTGTGTTCTTATTACCTTCGACATTTACCGAATTTCGCGACTACTGCCGAGTCGTTGCGGAGGATGACGGGTCAAAACCAAGAGTTTAGTTGGCACACTGAACAAGAAAATGACTACATGACCATACCAGCGATGACTGAATCCACTCCCACGGTAGCGATCTTCAATGAGCACTGTCCAACGTTTGTTTCGACAGATTATTCGGATTTTCGCTAGGGTGCTGTTCTGTCCCAACTACACGACGACGAGGAGAAAGGGATTGCGTACGCATTGTATATCTTGTCCGATACTAAAAGTAATTATTCTAGCAGCAAGAAGGAGGTCCTCGCAAGCGAATGGGCGTGTGAAAAATGGCACTTTTACTTATTCGGACGTCGATTCCCTTTGCGCACCGATCATTCTGCTCTTACAACGCTACTAAGTCGCGGTAACAAAGGCCAAAAGGCGGTACGCTTGAGTCTCTAGTACTCACTGTTATTGAACTATGATTATGAAATAAAAATGCTTACCAGGGTGCCTTAACCAACTTGCAAATGTCCTGTCTAAACTCCCACTGTCCAACAAAGGGGAAAACGAGAACTTAGATGGGGTGAAAATGATATCGCATCTCTCAGACGGAACAGTTACAATAACATTTGACCAGATACGAGAACACACTGGCAGACACCCTGTCCTGACGAAGCCTCGGGAGTACATATCCACCTTAGGGTCCAATCGTACCAAGATCCAACCTGCGTTACTTCCATACTATACCCTACAGCACGAGCTTTCTACTGTGAGCAACTGCATTAGTACAGCAGTTTGTGGTCCCTGCAACCCTTATTCCTCTGGTACTTGCATGTGCACATGAAGGTCATCCAGGGATTGTGCGAACAAAAGCTCGGATACGACAATACTCTTGGTGACCTAAGTGAAATTCCACTGTCGGGACGATTATTCGGGAATGTTACGCCTACCAACAATCGGATAAGATGTTAGGTTTCTGAATGCTCCAGTCCGACCTATCATGTACTCAAAGAAGCCATGTGCAAAAATTGCTATCGTTGTTATGAACCCGTTTGTCAATGCACCCCGCAGAAGGGAAACGTGCTAGTGGCTACATGTTTCAACAGCAAATGGCCAGAGGCTATTCTATGCAGGGATGTAACTACAGCTGTCATCAGAAAGTGGGTCCGTTGTTTGTTTGCAAGGTACTGGTTGCCAGAAGAACTAATAACTGATAACGGCCGATAGTTTCGTAGTAACGAGTATGCTGAATTCCTAAGGCGCAATTGTATCGGACACACAAGGACTGTATCTTAAATCCTGCAACGAGTGGAGTTGTCGAACAACTTAATCCTACTCTGGAAGAATCCCTACAAGTCCTTCGGCTGCCGGGAGAATCCTGGGATGGTGCGTTGGTATCTGCATTGGAGGTATACGGAACCACTCCACATACTGCAACGTCAAGAAAGCCCTCGGCTCTAATGCTAGGACGAACAATTCGAACTCGATTAAATGTAATCTTTACATCCGCAGAAAGCGATGACCACGTCTAAGTATAGACGTGTTGGGTGAACGGATCTCCCAGTGACATTTGTTCGGGTGAGACTACCCTATTTCCGGGAAGGAGGCAATTTGTTCGG